GTGCGGAGCGGCCGTGGGGGGCGGCCGGCGTGGGCGGGGTGCCGCATGTAAGGTGATGTGGTGTTTTCGAGGGACCGCGATTTGTATTCAAAAACGGCACGTTGAAGAGCAGTCTAAGCTCGAATCACCTTCTCTCAAACAAGAGAAGCAAAAGAAGCAGCTTGTGACGATGGCCCGTACCCTTCTTCTTTTGGCTGTGACCCCGGCCCTGGGCCTGCTTCCCGTGCAGCGGCGGCCCACGCGTCGCTGCGCGCCGCTGCGCGCGGCCGACGGCAACAGCGACGACTATTGGGTCGAGTACCGCGACGGCCAAGAATGCGTCGTGAGCGACATGGGCGCTTCGTGCATGGAGCGCGCGAACCTGCCAGACAAATCCCCAGGTTTCGTGGCGTTCACCCCTTGGGAGGACTTCCGCAAGCCCTACGAGCCCCGCGCCGCCGCCGCTGCACCGGAGGTCCCCCCGGTGCCGTCGCCGCCTTCCTTGATCCCGTCGCCCACGGCTTCCGAGCCGCCGAAGACGCCGGCGGAGGCGCGCGCGCGGGCGCGGGTGCAAGCGATTTCGCGGGAGGAATCTCATCTCCCAATCCATGCTCCGGCAGCGCGTGATGTAGCCGCTCCCGCGGCCCGGAAACGCATGGCGTTGCGCGCCAGCGGATCCACGAAAATGGACACGGGCTTCCCGAAATTCCCCGGCAACAACAGGCCTCGCTTCTGAGGGCGACCCCATCTGTACCTTTTCATCGCATCGCACCCATCTACCGACCTACGCTCCCACCATGCCTCGGGCACGGACCGCCGCGCGGTCCAGCGAAACCGAATCGCGCCGAGCGCGGCCAAACACTCGAACCCCCCCCCACTAAGACCTACGCTCCGACGCTAGGAGCGCGCGGCGGGCCGGCGGCACGCGGCGGCGTCTGGCGCGGGCGGGCGGAACGTGTTTGTCTTCAAGCTGACATTCAATGTCTGCAGGCGTGCGTGAACGAGGTGAGCAATGGGCTCTTGATTCCGCCTTTCCGCTCCTCCGCTCCCACTCGGCGCGCAAGCCTACCGCGTGCGCCATGCGGCGCGTCGCCGCCGTCGCCGTCGCGCAGCTCGCCGGCGCGTCGGCGCTGCTCCGCGTCGCCGTCGCCGTCGTCACGTATGACCGCCCGGCCTACCTCGAGCGATGCCTAGCGAACGTCGCGTCGCAGACCTACCCGAAGGAGCTCACGTCCGTCGTCGTCGTCGACGACACGCCCGGCGACGCGGCGCGAATTGCCGTCGAGGCGTCGACGGGCGCGGCGCTCGCGTGCGACAAATACGTGCACCTCGACGCGCGCGCGAGCATCGGCGCGAAGCGTAATCTGGCCGCGGACGTCGCGCGCGACCTCGGCTGCGACGTCGTCGCGACCTGGGACGACGACGACGTCTACGGCGACGACCGCCTCGCGGCGCAGCTCGCGCCCATCGCGGCCGGCGCCGCGGACGCGACCGTCGCGACGCCGAACGCGTGGCGCTACGAGGGCGGCGGGGACGCGGCGGACATGACCTGGGGCGGCTGGCTCGCGGCGGGGCTCGCGGCCCTGGACCCCGACGGCGCGCTCGGCACGGAGATCGTCGACGAGGCCATCGCGAGCCTCTGCTACCGGACGGCGCTCCACGGCGCCGCCGCGGCGTACCCGGACGCGTCCTACGACGAGGACCGCGCGTTCCTCGGCGCGCTCAAGCGGGGCGGCGCGCGCGTGGCGCGCCTGCCGCCGGGCGCGCCGGCCTACGTCCACGTCAAGCACGCGCGCGCGGCCGCGCGCGGCCCGCTCACGCAGCTCTACGGCGCGGGCCTCGGCGCGCTCGCGACGCCGCCCGCGGCGCTCGCCGCCGTGTTCGCGGCGAGCGCGGCGCTGCGCAGCGTCGTACACCACTAGTCTCTGTAGAAGCTGAAGAAGGACACGTCGCTCCCGAGCCAGTAGAGCGCGGCCGCGCACGGCGCGACGGCGAGGACGAAGCAGACGCCGACGAAGGCCGGCACGATGCGCTCGAAGGGCGCGCAGCCCGCCTTGCCCGCGCGGTGCGCGACCATGGACGCCTCCGTCGCGAAGAGCGCGAAGAGGCTCGTCGACGACTCGAGCGTGCGCTGCGCCGCGTGGAGCTCCGCGACGCGGTCCCACCAGGCGTCGGAGCCGAGGGCGAAGGCGACGCAGTCCGGGGCGAAGACGGCGCCGAGGGCGCCGATGGCCACGAGGCCGCGCGCGCGGAGCGCCTCCGTCGGCGACAGCGGCGGCCGCGACGCCGACGGCGGCCCGGCGAGCGTGTAGACCGGCGCCGCGGCGCCGTAGGCGAAGACGCCGAGGGCCAGGGGCGCGCAGACGCCGTCGAGGCCGGAGAGCCCCGGCGGGCAGGCCTCGGACGCGCGGAGCGCGAGCCACGACACGGCGAGCGAGTACGCGCCCGCGAACGCCGTCACCGTCGCGTCGTCGACGATGCCGCGCCGCCGGTTCGGGCTGATGTTGTAGGCCGTCGCGACCTGGGCGAAGGCCGCCGCCGCCGACGCGGCGCCGAGCGCGACGGCCGCGACCTCCGTGGCGACGTAGGCCTCGCCGTAGCGCCCGGCGACGTTCTCCGCGGACACCGCGGCGCCGACGGCGAGGAGCGCGAGTGCCAGGAGGTCCCGCGGGTTCGCGAGAGCTGTGGCGAGCGACGGCCGCTCGCGCAGGTCCAGCGAGTCGCTGATCAAGTAGTCGTCGCCGACGTAGACGTCGGTGGTGGCGCGGCGCGGCGTTGGACTGTGTTCGGTGGCGAAGCGCCGATGCGGCTGCGTTGGTGCGCGCTGCGCGACGAGTCGTCGCTGCAAGCACGTCGCTGGCGCCAGGAAGGCGAGGAATATGGCCGATTTGATCACCATGCGCCGTCCTTGCTGCTTGTTTGCGGCATGATGACAACATGATGCAGTCGAATCATTGCTTCTCCTCGTCGCGCTGCTCTCCGTGCTCGCTCCTTCAGCCGCCTCGTCGCGCTGCCCAATCCATGGATCCCATCTCGAAAGAGCCGCTGCTTCCCAGCGCGCCGCCGGCCGGCCTGCCGAGCGCGCCGCCACTAGAGGATGCGATTCCCGAGGCCGAGGTCGTGAGCGTGTCGGATGCGATGCCGGCGCCGGCGGCGACGGTGGTGGCCGTCGAGTCGCCCTACTTTTACACGCCGGCGGAGCTGGCCACGTTGGACGCGAGCCCGCTAAACGAGTACTTCGACGGCGGCGAGGCCGCGGCGGCCGCGCGGACGCCGCTCGACGCGGCCGCGCCGCTGGCCGTCGCGCGCGGCGGCGCGGCCGGCGCCGCGCTCGCGGCGCCGCTGCTCACGACGGCCGCGGGCGTGCCCGTCGTCGCCGTGGCCCGGTCGCCGTCGCGCGCCGTCACCCTGCGCGACGGCCGCTCCGGCGTCAAGAGCGGCGACGCGCTGCTCCAGACGTCGCCGGAGGAGATCATATTGTTCCTCCAAACCCACAATACGCGCCCCTTCCTCGCCGCCCACGTCGTGGGCTACCACCACGAGACGCGGACGCGGCGGGTCACGCGCGTCGACTCCAAGGGCCGCGAGCGCCGCGAGACGGAGACGTACTCGGAGCGCGTCGACGACTTCGACTACAAGGTCGACGTCAGCGACTGGATCTACCCCGTCGGCTACATCCACGCCGACGGCCCGAACTCCGTCCCCGAGGTCGTCGAGGCCTACGTCCGCGACGCGAACCTGCTCAAGACGCTCCAGATGACCAAGGAGATCGACGGCTTCGACTTCGACGCGCTCCGCGACGCGATCCACGGCCGCATCCGGGCGCTGGGCTGGTGCCGCGAGCTCTCGGTGGATTTCCCGACGGCGAACGCGTCCGTGCGCGTCTTCAACGAGAATCGGCTGTCTCGACTCTGGGAGAACTCCTGCGGGTTCTGCCTCTTGCACGCGACGTTGCTCCCGTGCCTCGCGCTCCGGTGCTACCGCGGCGACTGCAACCGCTGCCTCTGCCGCGCGGCGGGCTCGTCGCGAAACGCCGCGATCAAGTCGTCCTTCCGCATCCCCTACGACCCGCGCCAGGTCTTCGACGCCATCGCGCCCCAGCTCTGGTGCCCGGGCTGGAGCGGCGCGGCCCTCGCCATGGACACGATCGCCTCCGCGCTGGAGTACGGCGTCGCGTCGAGAGGGCGCCGGCGCCGCCGGCGCGGCCGTCGCTGGTGAGGCGTCGATAATTATCATCACGGATTATGCAGCGGGTGCGGGACGAGGCGCAGGAGCGCGTCGAGGACCCAGTCCGGGATGGGCCGCGCGAGGAAGAGCGCGGCGGCGCAGGGCACGCGGAGCCTCGCGGCCTCTACGAGGGCCGCGGAGCAGGGCCCCGCGGCGTAGCGCGCCCGCGGCGCCGGCGCGAGGAGCGCGTCGAGGATCGGCGGCGTCGTGGCGCGCCGCGGCGGCACGTCGCAGACGTCGGCCGCGGGGCACATGCGCGACTCGCCGCCCGACACGGACCCCGGCGCGACGACCGCGACGAAGCGCTCCCGCGAGGCGTCGCGCGCGAACTCCCGCCGGAGCGAGTCCGCGGCCGCGTCCAGCGCGGCCTTCGACGCCGCGTAGTACAGCTGGTCCGGGCCGGGGAAGACCGCGGCCATGGACGACACGAAGACGACGCGGTCGAGCCGGTCCTCGAGCGCCCGCGTGAGCTCGACGGGGCCGAAGAAGTTGACCTCGAAGAGCTCCCGCGCGTCGCCCGCGACGACGCCGGCGGCGTGGACGACGGCGTCGACGTTCGGGTTCGCGGCGACGAGGGCCGCCGCGGCCGCGGGGATCGCGGCCGCGTCGGCGAGGTCGACGGGGACGACGTCGAACCGGTTGTTTTTTGCCGGGTAGCGGTCGCGCGCGGCGCGGCGGACGTTCTCGAGCGCGTCGCGATCC